CAGGAATTATTATTTTCGCCCAAACATTTATTCCACGCAGACCCTGCCCATTAAGAGCGGAGTCCGGTTCTGCCACCCACCATTAAAGTTCCCACCCTGCCCCGGGTACTCCTGACAATTTTAAACTTTCTAGGTTCACAGGAGTTATGAATTTCCGCGCAAACCGCCAGCCAGCCAGCCAGACAGACAGACAGATGGGCGGACGGACCGACGGACAGACAGACAGGCGAGAGCACTTTATATAAAGAAGGATCTTTTTGAACCAGTAGAGGTAATGCGGTGTCAAGCGGCGCGCACTAACAGACAAATAGTTTGCGTGCCAAGTTCGGATCAGTATACACCCAGGCCAATACATCTCTCGTCCCAACGGTTTCGCTGGCCCAGGCCAACACATCTCCCGTCCCTATGATTTCGTTTTTTTGAGGGACAGAGCGCCGTGCCCGGATATCACAAGTACGAGTTCGAGTCCCTTCCGAGGCCGGAGGATCTTATGAGCTGGATCGTTGAATTTCGGACTTTTTCGAGCTCGTATCAGCAGTTCTCAGACTGATTAAGTTATAAATCCCATAGAAATGGCTTTGAATTCTCTGCACTTCCCCCTGCACCATCCGCTACGAAACAGAGCTCGGTCAACGAAATATCTTGACCTGAATGAATAGAGGAGCCGCTCTACGTAATGTAGCTTTTTAAAACACCCACTCTACCCTCACAATCAATCATATCACTCACCCTTCTCGCAGCGGTTAGATGTCCATTAGCTGGAAAAAGCAATTACATTTATGATTGCGTGGGAATCGTTAATTCCACTGCAATTTCTTTCACCTTGCATCACAGATTGCGCTTCCACAGCGCTCTTTCATACCACTTCTTCTTTCTGTAGCGAAAAAATACTGCATGTAATCGTTTCTATTAGAAATACTGTCCAGCAAACCTTTTCAGTGATTTCGTCGTGGACTAAGTTTTTTGTCTAATACGTTATGGGCTCATTTTATTGCCAATCTAACAGAATATTCGACAAATTTTCTTGAACTCTTTTAATAGCGGAGAAAATTGAAACTAAAAAATTTCCCAGGTCGCCATTGTTATGGGATTAGAAAAACTGAAGAGGATTCGACTTGCCATTGCCTTGCCACTATTGTAAGCAAGCTTCACTTGTGATGCTCCTCAAAACATTTTACCGAGTAGGTGTAGTGGCAGGGCTGTTCCACAAACCTACACATTACTTCAACATAGCTAACGAATAAGAAATATTCTAAGGATTCCCCTAGGGGCATATTCGAAATGAAAATGAGGAACACTCTTAATGTGTGCAATATGAACTTGGTTCAAATTTGTCGAGTCTTTGAGATACCCATTGTCAATACCGTAGTCATTTTGGGATTCCACTAAGATAGGACGGGATGAAAAAAGTCTACTATTACAAACCAGCGCATCAGAGCCTGTTCTCGTGTAGTGATGCTCATAATTATATCGAGCTTGGAGTTTGTTTTCACGACGTGAATCGAAATAATGACATCTATCCAGTGACCATCCCTCTGAACTCTAGAAAATGTTTCTCTCGATGCGCATGCTCCCTCCTTCTTTTGGTCTGAGCAAGGGAAAGTCAACCGTTACAGAATGTCGGAATTTTCGAGCTGAAGTTGTCTTCACGCATTCTTTTATCAAACCTAGCAAATATCGAATGACAACGGCAACAAGCTCCCACATTTCCGAAAAGCTGTGAACTCATAGGCAAAGACTCTGTCAGCCAACATTATTACCGATTATATGAGGTAGACTCCGATAGGAAGCGTCCAATAATTACTTCTGAATTGATTGCATTTTTACTGAAACATTTCTGCGGAAACTTTCTCATCAACGCGCTCATCTAAGAACTCTCTCGAATGAAACTTCTTTTCCCTTCATCTCTGGTACTATCGTACCAGTATAAGAAACTTCTGGTCGCGTAATGAATGTCGTTAAACAACGGACAATTAAATCGCACATTTGACACAAGCATTAATTAGGTTCCTTTCCTTGTAATCGGCAGTTATTTCCGGTAGGGGTTCTATTAGTCCCCACGTTTCATTCTATCTCTCGGCACGTCATGAGGTGTGGTGGCGAGACTTCCTGGTGAGAGTTTGTAGACAAGAACTGAAGGTCAGACGCAATCACGCATTTTTGACATGTATGCTTATGAAAGCACTTGAGCCATGACCTTTGCTCATTGTTCGGTTTCGGGGAAAGGGAATTCTACTGCTCATGGCAAGCCAGCCTTTGCTTTCCTTCTTTCTCCAGTTCCTAATGAATATTTTAAGCCACCCTTCCACTCTCGCTTCAGTTTTCGTTTCATTTCCGTTTTTCATTTTCCTGTCCATGATGCCTCACTTTGAACGCTTACCACCGACAGACTAGTCAAAATTCTTACCAGCGTTGGAAAAAGCTAAGAGTTCTGTGTCGTCGTGCGCTCATTTTTCGGGTGCGTTTTGATTAAGAAATTCAGCAGACAAATTCTTTCATTTGTTTCACGGCTGCAAGAGCTGTGTGTTTGTCAGTTTAGTAGCTCAAGCTCATACCTACCGAATACGAATGTCAAGTAAAAAATTTCTAGCCTTGGTGGAGGAAGGCTGCTCTAGAACTTGCACACTATTCATGAGGCTAGGGCTAATCGAGACGCACCATTTCGTTTTCCTGCAGTTGGATCCGCGATGTAGGTAAGATCTGTACGTTGGGGTGGCGAAGAAGGGGAGAAGAGGTATAGGCAATGCTACTTACCCTCAAATGAGTGTTGACTACGTCAACAATGCATTTGGATGCCTTGTCGATAGAACTATACGTATTACTTAATCTCGAACAAATGTTCACTATGTCAACAATGCATTCAAACGTCTTGTGTATAGAACCTGTAGTCGTAGTTAGTCAGTTATCTGCGGAAAATTTGGGAATGTATATGATTTTTTTGAGTAAATTGTTTCCTTGAATCGACACTTTTCTTGGATTGAAAGAATGATTTGTAATTTCGAGAAAATCCTAAAGTGGTCTATAGCCTCGCGCGGATTGTTTTGTTAGGAGCTCACTTCCGCATTCGTGCAGCAGCTGAAATTGAATCCAAATATTAATAGTTTTCTTCTGAATAAATAGTAATTATCATTGAGCGATCTCATTAACCGGCCCGAGCTTCAGCTCCGAACCCTTTATGCCAGAGACCTTATGTGCTCCCAAATTTGTATGCATATTATGAGAGATTTGTAGATCTTTTAGATGGCAATCTCTGCGATTATCGGGATTTTCTTGAAAAGAGACTGCGAAAATATTAGGCGCTAAAGGAAAGGAATATACCGTCTAGTAGAGTATGCCGTTCGCTTCTCAAATATAACTTTTTCAGAACTTCTTCCGTTTTTTTTTCAAACTGTGAATGCCTATCGATGAATGTGACAAGGGAGTAGGTTTCCAACGGTCTCGGTGTATTGTGGGATATTCTGAACAATTTACTTCTTTTTTTGGCACCATCTTACCTGTATAGTCTTTAACCTGTCTAAATTTCCAGTTTGCAACGCAACAACTCGCATAACAGCAATATAACAATTACGACATCAATACTTTGTCGCATAACTTTTGGCGTCAATGACCACTTGACCTGCTCGAACTCAATGAGCTTATCGATTTCCTTCAATGGGATGTTCTCCCATGCAATCTTCAGACGAAAGGACTTTCGGTGCTCATTCTGAGCCCTGAGGCCTTTAAGTTGACGCTCATGTATATCCCACAGATATTCATTTGGATTTAGATCGGGTAACTGCGACGGCCATAGCAGCAGAGGGACGGTCGCGGAACCACGTCGTGAGGAGCTTTGATTTGGGGTTTGGGTCGTGGCCTGTTGGAAAATGAAGGCACTGCTAGCAGTACTGCGAACAAAGGCAAAGGCAGTAGTCTCCATGGTATTGAGTACACTTTGAAATCCATCTCACCCTGGTTCCGATGGAGAGAAACATCTCCTTCGCCACAGAAGCTGCCGTGAGCCATCACGAAACTTCTTCCATCCTTCATGGTGCAGCTAGTAACTTGGATGCTGGATGGATGCTTGGTACCGACAGTACGTCGTCCCAACAGCAAAAACTTCGGTTCGCCGCTCAACACATACCACTGCTGAACGGTCCAGTTCTTGCAAGCATGGACCAAATCCAAACCTAGCGATTACAGTGTCCACGGAGGGGTTCGGTGTCTCGGGCGTCATCCCGCGAAGAACCAGGCTGTAGGGGTATGGGTACTTACGTGCGTCCGAGAATGCGCGCGGCAAATTGCGCGGCGAAGTGNCACTTCGCCGCGCAATTTGCCGCGCGCATCCTCGGACGCACGTAAGTTCCGTTCCCCCGGCTGTAGTGAGCCCGTTCGCCCTGGCAAGCAATTCTTAATTCAGCATTACTGTAGCACAGATCAATCAAACATACAACAAATGGCAGTGAAACAACGACTACGATCATCACGCACTCCTTAAGTAGCCGATGAGTTTTTGAGTAATTTGAATCGACGCATCGATTCCATTATCAATTACGGTCAATGACAACGACTAGCTTGAATTGTTTCCATGGACTTTCTTCAGCACTCGCAGCTATCTTCTACTACCTTACACTTCCTGAAGCAGTAAACCATTTGAAACACCCATGAGCATTAGTCCGTTCAGTAGAAATATTCGCAATCATCTACTCTGAAAATGCCGGCCTATCATTGTTTGTCGAGAACTAGTTATTGCGCCAGAAACATGACACTCAATTCGGCTTAGCCACCTTTGACTCCTGCGCTTGGTTTGACGAACTGTGTCGAGGTAGCGCTCCTCAAACTCTTGAAACAGTGCTCGTGGGGCGATAATGAAAGAGAAAAGAGAAGGTGTAGAGTATATCCTATAGATTGCGAGTTTGCTAAATTGCAAAGGCAGCGTTGTTCACAGATTGAAGATCCAATTAGTCACTGCTGCGTCTCATCTATCCGAGTCTTCTTCAGCTCCAACAAATCGTTTTTTTTAGATGAATATGCTGGAAAAAATCAATAGTGAGGACAAGGAATTATTGAAACGAAGTTGGACATTCCTCGAAAAAAATATCAATAATACGGCATACTGTATTTTCGACATGATATTCAGACAAAGCCCTGATACCAAACAGGTATGTGGAGCAGAGTTATAATGTTCGTATAACAAGCACCTTAGCTACCTCTGGCGGCCCGCATTCTTGATAAGCGCCTGGAAATTCTTTCGAAGAAGAGCTTTGTTACTTCTGTTGGGGTCAGCATAATGCATGAGATTATAGATAAGTATTGAAAAATGAGAATTATTCTAATTTATCGATTAACGGAGTTCTGGGAAAAGAATCTGGATTTGGTCCCGGAGGTGAAAATGTAGTTGGATTAGAACACCAGTGTTGGTATAAGAAGGAACTGTTATGGTGTTACACGTCAATTCGTGTCATAGTTTCACTGTATCAAAGACGAAAAGGAGGATGGGCACCGGCTATCTGTGGGGTCACCCCGTGAGAAAACCTGGGAACTCGTTCACCCCGGTGTACCTTTCCTTCTACTGCTTAGATCGTAAACTCATTTCCCTGGTACAACAAGCACATTTTTTCGCAAACAGAACACTAAGTATGAACTCTAGAAATACTTTTCCTATCTTCTTCTCTTCCTGAGTTAAAAGTTATTCGTTGGTAGCGGTCATGACAGTTCTTTTGCCGACGCTTTCCAACGGGTTTGTCGACAATTTCAAGTGTTCTCTTTTGACAGCGGATTGGATCTTCACTATTTCCAATAACTTCTTCACAGCGTCTTCTTTGAACCGCAAAAAAGGAATTTATCGAATCTTCCTGCAATGCAACACTCATGCATTCACATAGAATTTTGCAAAACGTGGTGAAAAAAGATGAGCATGTACCACTAAAACTCCTAATAAATGGATTTTACGAGTGCCATCTGATCCGACAAGTCCACGATTAACATGCACATGTTGTGTTCCTTTAACATGATTGTCGACCTTTATTTTCGCGTCACTGAATGACGGTGATCCCATCTTGTGACAGTATAGCTTCGGTCATACCCTTAGGCACTATCTTTCTTGTGAGTGCAGAAGGGAAACATTTCCTTTGTTGGCGAAAAATTCCCACGAAGTCCGTTTACCTTACCAAAAGCTTTCGAATTAGAACAACTGAGGCCCACCAATTGTCACACTGTCATTGTCATTGTCACAGAACACTTTTCTACCAGGATCCAACAAACCATTCATCAAACGCATAACTACGTTTTCTGAAACACTTCCTTCTTTTTTTTAACTTTCGGTCTTGACACGGTACGTGTATCCGGCTTTGATGCACACTTTAACACGTTGACGACAATGTCGGTCAATGTTGATCGACAGCCAGTCTGTCTCGTGGAACGGTGCCGGTCAATGGCGACCGACAGTACTTTAAAGGCACCGTTTACGATAAATTTAGGGTACCATTTTTTGACGGGAATTCATAGAACTACTCTAGAATAGAGCGATAACAACGAAAAAAGCGCAAAAAACGATGAATAAAAAGAAATAGAAAGGGTCAAAAAAGAGCTGGGAAGGGGGGTTGAACGAGTTTCACATTGGAAGAACGGCGGTTAAGGGAGTGTTTGGGCGAGTGCAGGAAGGCGACGCAATGTCTGCAATAGCAGACAACACATCCAAGCAGACAACTTCGCTCCAATGCGAAAGTAATGAACGGCAATTAGATTTCGTAGTCAGCCTAGCGAGGGGCGGAGGCCTCCCGTCCCCCACTGTTCCTGCCCTTGTTGTGCCCTATCCAGACCGTTTTTCGACCTCATTCCTGCACAAATGGTATCAGAGGGGGCGTCGAATTCAAACCATGTGCAGATCTCCGAAACCATTTTTTTCGTGAACAGTGCCTTTAAGTCAGCCAAATGAAGAAATTCTCGGGTTTTTTGTTTCATATTTTACATTTATTTATTTACTCACTAACTTTAGCGTCGACCCATGATTCTTCTAAATCTGAGGTTTTTATGGAAATATTGAATATCGAGTTGGGTGTCATACATCACATCAGATAACAATTAAAATTTGAACCCCTTCCAACAATTGGCGCCTTACCTCTGATCCTGTTCCCGCCGAACGTTTAAATAATGTCTTCTATGAATAATCACTACTCAAAGCCTCATACACCGAAATAGTCTACAAAGCCCCATGATTTTGAAATATTCACCCAGTTCTTAACGGAATACAGGTTTTTCCTTTGTTTCCAGGAAATTTCACTTGTTTCTTACAAAGAATGGCTTATTACTTATGAATACAGTAAACTACATAAATATGGTGTCTGTTTCGTGGGACGATGTCTATCAATAGTGACCGACGATTAGTCAGCGCTTTCAAACGGTCTCGTCCCGTGGGCGCGCAAACGAAAGGCGCTCTCGTCCTCAACGTGTTAAACAACTTGATTCCGAATTCCCGTTTCTTGTTAGGAATATACTGCTTCAACTTCAAGCGACCTCGGAAAGGTACGATCGACTAATCAATAGCATGTCCTCCTCAGGAGTAACAGAACAGTCGATACCGCTGGAATTGTCCAGCACTGCTCTATTCTTGAAACGTCGGTCATTTCCATCCTGTTGCTCATTGTTACAGTAGTGCAGGTTGGACAATATAGCCTCGAATCTGTCTCTTGACATGGTTGACAAACAATGTTTTCGGCGTACCACTTCTTAGTTGACTATTAGCGGCGCAATGTCGGTATCTTCACGAGTCCCACGATATAAAAACAAAGTCCCAGAAATTGCATCACTTCCTGTGCATCAGTTTCCCTAAACTTCGCCTATTTGATGACTCCATAACGACTGGTCTCCTGTACAATGAAAGCGAACAACTTGTCGAACAAGAGCTCACAGAAGAAATCGGCAGGTTCGCAGCAGGCAGTTTCTTCAAACAAGATTACAGTGTCGAAGAAGACACCTACTGCTAAAAGGCACTACCCCAGTCTACGGTAGCACCATTAGCAGGACGTTTCGCCATTTCGCCAGTACCTCCATCATTATCGACAAGATCTGGTCTATCAACAGGCGTATGGATTGTTCAAACCGATGATTGAGGAACCGTCAAACAAGCTGTTGCGACCAGGAACCTTTTCATATATAAAGAAAATTGCTGCAGCTAATCACCGAATGGATTGCAAGCTGTCTAAGAACGAAGGTGAAAGAATGGTCGTAATGATCGCAACATTTTTTCCTGAGTTATGGTCTGAGAAAGTGAAATACATACCACACTATAAAGACTAATCTTCAGCCAACTCGGGGCGCTTGCTTGTCTTTTCACTCAAGGTGTTTTCCAAACGATCGATAACCATTTTCATTGCGTAAAACTTAAAGCCTTCCTTTCATGTGATTTTTTCAGAGGAAGTTGAATTTTCTCTCTTCAGCTTTTCCCGTTTATGAAAATTCGGAAACCTGGTGATGCCAAGCGATCTCGTGAGATGGAGTTTCATGGGTTAAGATTTATGCAGGTGAGCTTCAAAAATTTGAAACCATTCTATTATATTTCTGCTGACTGCTAATGAACGAAAAGAATAGCTGAAAGAAGTTCGGATCTGCTTGGGATGGCCGACTCTAGAAAGCATGCTACTCGTAACAAAGGAAAAAGGAGCTTGACTCTGGCTCATAACCAAAGTTCGATGAGCTATCTTATAACTGTTCTTTCTTCATTACAATATTTTTCTGTGTCTTCAGGACCGATGTATAATTTTCATTGTTTCTTGTTGACGGCTCTTTCTGGAAGTTGCTGAGAGATAAAATCATATTGAAATCATTCGACTGAACAAAAACGCGAAGCGAAATAACGTTATATAGTGCAGCGCTTAGAGGCACAGTTCACGATTAGAATGGTTTCTTAGATTTTCTACTGGATATGAACATGTGACTCCCAAGGATAGCACAAGGAGCTTTCTCGGGTCAAAAAACGATCTAAATAGAGCGTAAGGACGACAATAAAATCGGCTCAGCTAACGTACACACTCAAAAGGGGACGAGTCCTCACGGCGTTGTATAGGATGTAGAGGTTGCGCCATTCGTCCCGAGACGCACACGTTGCACGAAAGCAGCTTATTGTAGCCAGCTGTACGCAATGGCAAACACATCCAGACAGCTCGTTTAAATGCCCCTTCCATGCATTTTTTTTCCGTCACATTCTCGTACAGCTCCTAATTTTACTACTTTGTCTGGATCCTTATAATTTTCTTTATACGCCGATTTTTGCGTTTTATTCGTCACACTTGCACAATTTTAAGCCGTCACATCTATCAATCGTCTGAATCAAATACCCCAAAATAATCGTAAACTGGGACTTTGAATGTAATGTGATGTATCCCTTTTTAGCGAGGATGACGTCTTCGAGGTTGTGCTAGTTTAATCTTTTATCTCCTAAAAGTATATGTAATTCGTTTATTCGTGTTTTAATGAACATGTGAGTAGCCACCAGCAAATGGGCGCTGTTCTCTTTTTTGCCAATCCCATCGCGGTATGAAGTTAAGATTATCGTGGAGTAGAAAATGTGCAATTTGTGAACAGCACGCTGATATCAATGTTGAGCTTCTCAGGGTCATCTAATTAAGGACAAATTCTATTGGATTTGTTGATAGCCAATTTAAAAAAAGAGTCGGCATTTCGCATGCAGAATCAGTTTGCTATAATCACATGTGACAAGCGTGAATGGTAACCGAAATAAGGCGCTTACTCAACCAAATATCAGAACAGTTCCTGAAAACTTCAGTGGAACGGTGAAATATTAGGCCCAAAGGTAAACGGCTGACGGTAGCAAATACCGTCGCTCTCTCTGCGAAGCGAGAACACAATGAAGCATCAACGCTTAATATCAAGGACGATTTCGCATCTCCAATTAATACTGTCCTCAGGCGAACTTGGTCATGAGTTTTTTGATGTTTTGCATTTTGCAGTTCCAAGCTCCCTATCCGCAAAGAACATTACAAGCTCTATCGATGAAGCTGCGTCTCCGTTCAAACTTCCACTGCGAGTAAATTACCCTTTCCTGGTTAGCTAAGATTACATGTTTCCAGGTTTTGCAATCTGTCGTGAAATCAATCGATAATCCAACTTCATTGGACCCTCTATGTGATAATCTAGGTAAGTTAATAATTACGGGCAACGTCTGGCTAGCTTTTGTTATCTTTATATAAAAACCACTGTGTTGTTTTCCTGCCGACACCGAATGCTGTGCTGATAAGAAGTTTTCGGGGTACAGCAACTCAGTATTCATTTGAAATAGATTCTCTGTAGGATCGCCACCCTCCTGTGACTTAATATTTCTATCGATCCTCTGAGCCTTTCGATGGATGATAAGATTAGTTTCTGAATTTTTTTTTTGCTACGAAAAATTACAGCGTGCATATAAATAAAAATGTTAGTAAGTTGAGACTTCAAGGCCCTGTAAAAAAACCTGGTAGTTTGCAGTGTAACGCACCATTCCTGTGTCATCTCTCTGAGCCCAGGTTCGAGTACTACTGTTTTTTCTTTTTTTCTACGTTCTCATGACATCTTGAACTTTCACTTTGGCCCTTGAGAACAAATCGAGTTTTTTCCCAAAAACTGGTTTGTTCTTCTCCTGTTGTTTGCTGTGTTTCTTCATAGTGGTCACAACAGAACCTGGTCGAGCTTTTCGTTGCAGTGCGCCTATTGAGCGCATTTGATGTAATAAAATGAAATTAAATAAAATAAAATTCTTACTGGTCAAACTGAGGTATGGTTGGCGAAAATATAATAGACTAATAGACGAAAATATAGAATAATATAATGAAAATATGACATGGAAAGCACACATATCTGAAGAAATTATGGTATAGAAAAACAAGAAAAAAATTCCCCGTCAAACGCACCTCACACCTGACACACTTCGTTAGCCGTTAACGACTGCTCTTTTTGGGCGGTCTACTCCTGAACTCCTTCATCGGTGTTCATCGTGATCTCCTGCCGTCTGTATTGCTATACTAAATTCGGACGCTCTAGAACCAAATTCGAAATTTCCACTCACGTTCTCTCTCTCCCCCCATCCCCACACCCCCTCCTGTGAGCGGAATCAACCTGCTACCTACCATAGGTGTTCCTATCCTGCTGCCTGTACTCCTACCAAACTTGTAAATTTGAATTTGAACGCTCTTGGTCTAGAACTGGAGTTACAAATTCACGGTTGAGCATTTAATTCGCGCACGTCCCCTGTGAGCGGAGTCCAGTTCTGCCACCCACCATAAGTGTTTCTATCCTGCGGTCTGTATTCTCATGAAGGTTGAGCTCTTTAGATTCACGGGTACAAGAGTTGTTAATTTCTGGTCGAACACATACACAACATACTCGTTTGGTTCGTCATATATGGTAGTGAAATGGTGTATAATAACCTGCTATTACACGCTTTTTATTGGCTTCCAACGCGTCCAACGATGAGCTCAAGGACTTCACAACCGATCTTGCTACCATCTTATGGTATAACCCTTCACATGTAGTTTTTCGGACTCGGTCTATCTGCTATTCTGATGTTACCGTGCTATGCTCGAAAGATGTGTCGTAATCGACACACTTCATGATCATAAGTACATGCAACTGCGCAAACAACTTAAATTCATCATCGTTGGCTGAGAAGTTGAAATCCATCACAGTGGTCACGATAAAGTGGAAATAGCCCTGCGATCGTCACTGAACAAAACATTCAAATAGCAGTCAAATAGAAGATATTCGAGGTGAAATTCCGATTTCCTGGTCTCCTAAAAGCCGAGAAAGGGTTTCTTTCTTTCATGAGCTCACCTTGTACTTTTTATGAAGTCGCTTACCCTCATCAAACCCTGATTATCTTGTGCATTCATTATGTGACCAGATATGAGTGGCCGAACTCTGTAGTGAGTATAAGTTCCCCAAGAAAAGTTGGTAAGAAGAAAAGGTGTTCATTCGAAGTGATTTGGGTTACCTATTACTAATGTCTAATCATCAGAGCTATAAGTATGAATCTCTTCAATAATTAATTTTCCCCTTGGTCGCAATGCACATGTAAGAAACCATGAAGTTCGGGCTCTTGAAGTGTTACAATTTCAGTAAAGGTTTATCACATCGCTGAATTAGCAACTAACTCATTTTGCTTTTGAGGAAGAGTGCATGGTCGATTGATCGACTCTCGTGGATTCAAGGCTCATCATTGGAGTGTTTTCATCGAATGCACATTGTTTCACTTCCGAGAAGTGCTTGGATCGGTAAGGTATTTCGCTCCAAAGTTTACAACAATTTAGGTTCCTTTTCTAAGAAGTGCGAATAATTTCGACGAGTCGCTTAAAATCATACAGCAATATTTTTGCCAATCCTCTAATCAAGAGTGAATAAAAGATGCACGCATTCGTGAGATACTAAACCTAATGATGGCAGCAATACTCACACTGGATGCCTTCTTCGCTCACCATTGGAAAATTTCACTATGTCGAATTTAAATTTTGGGTACACCAAATCGTTGTCGGCACCATCGTTCCCCAACTAAACGGCCTAGCCCCAATTGTGAACTCCGCTATGTAAAACAAAAGTCGACCCTAGCGCCTAGTCAGCAACTGGTCAGCATCACATCATAAAATTGACTATCGATGTAATGCGCGTGCGCTTCACGCTCTCCGCACCCTATCACACTCAGTCGCATGCCATGAAAGGAAAGATTCGAATTCTCAATAGAAGGGAACGGTAGCCGTAGAAGGACTATTGCCGCTTGATGTGAGGATCGGGAAAGAAACACCACCAGCACTAGAAGCTGCTTGTGATTATGATGTTTTTGTGAACATTTATTGAACATTAGAAACTTGTTGCTGTGTCTGCACGGGTGAAGCTGAACTTCTCGTTTCACGATTCATTAGCGTTTAAGATAGCTGCTGTGACTATCTGTACGGTGAAGCAACTTTGTATAAAATGTCGCACTAACACGCAGTGTGATACACCCCGAACAAATTAACACTATGCTTCTTTTTAACTCCGAGAAAGTTAGTAATGCGATACAGCCGAGCGTTCTCTAGGTAGACTGCAATATGTTGCACAATTAACGCGTATTCCTTACGACGCCTCTGAAGAAGACGATTTCGTCGAAAATCAACCGTTTTTCTTGCCCCGACTGAATATTTCGCAAAAAAAATAATAAAAAATGAATACTTGATTCCGAACAACCATGAGTCCTACTTCCTTCATTAGATACTGGTTGTTAAAATTATTCAAAGTCCAAAATATCACACACTTTGGACCGTTTTGAGAAAGTTCACTAACAGTCACAATTTACAATCATTGGACCGTTTCTCCCCTGGCCTACTGATAATAAGCTAAAATTGCAAGACCACTCCAAAAATCTCCTTGGCTTTCAGCTTTGTATTCTGAAATAACATTAGATGCAGGTGAAGTCAACTGATAATTTCAATTTGAGGCGCCATCCTTCAGCTGTGAAGCCACCATGGATAGAGCAATCATCGTTTGGCGCACTGTCCTTCGTATAATAATCAAGCGAATGAAAGTTAGAAACTTCCTCAGTTATTCATCCATTGCATTTTTTCAACTGCATTGCATGTCTGTGTTGTAAAAAGCTTAACAATAATGACAGGTTGGCCTGGCTTCTGATCTCTTGAACCGACAAGCTAATAGGATCGCTGATGAACCATCAACATCAGAACGAAGCAGCCCTGTCGCTAATATAAGTGAGTCTCAAATTGAGTTCTGTCATGAAGTATGAGCTTATGATACTACTGTGTAACACTTCGATGGGAAGCTGAGGGACAGCATAAAAATGTTTTGTCGCATCATCTAAATCGTAAAGACTTTTTGCTGCACACAGTAATTTTGTTTCCAGCCTCAACAATCCCACACGCTCTCACCTTGCCGATAATAAGTGGCAACAACAAAGGTGAGCTCCGTCTATGAAACTGCACAAGCGTTTCTTGTCTCGTTATTGATTTACGGGGTAGACTGGGTCAAATTCTTTACTCAGGTCTTCTGTAAATATGCTTACATTTCACTGACTCTATGTGTGTTCAGCTTGACCAACATTTTTGCGTAGTATCAACAACTTTATCGCTAACCGCTGATCTGCTTTTTTCACGTGCAACCTTTCCACTACTGCAGTGGGTGGCNGGGGTAGACTGGGTCAAATTCTTTACTCAGGTCTTACAATATAATACAATATGCTTACATTTCACTGACTCTATGTGTGTTCAGCTTGACCAACATTTTTGCGTAGTATCAACAACTTTATCGCTAACCGCTGATCTGCTTTTTTCACGTGCAACCTTTCCACTACTGCAGTGGGTGGCACGAATTGACTCTCAAGACGGAACTATTGACAAAAAACTCTAATGGCAGCTGTTGAAATTCTTCTGCCGTTTGAGATTTTTAGGTGGAACACTTTATCAAGTTGACGGCCTAACGTTTCGACGAAATTGTCGTCTTCAGAGACCCAAGCGCACTTCAAGATGTTTTACAATATCCGATAGCGTTTGACTCTAGCAAAAAACAAACTACCCACTTCATATAATACTCACCAGCTTCACCGTTAAAGCGGATAGAATCTGGTATCGTCACAGACGACTGTCAGTAGCGAATGGGACTCATTGATAGCCACTGGCCGCAGCCGTCTCGCGAGCTAAACGCCGTGACTCGTGAAGCCCAACTTTATCCGTGCCCTTCTCGTGTTGCTCTTCTCAGCATGTTGACAACTTCACGTTTAGCGAATTGTAGATGAGCTGATGTAATGTGAATTAGGATATTCTTCAAACTAACTCCACGACCTCACAGTGCCGCTGGACATTAACTTGTGGAATAAAATAAGGGAGACAATCATGTGGTTTCTCTCGTGTGATTTTAACATACCGTGACTGTTAATTCATAAGGCGAAAATACTCGTTCATTCTGAACTGTGTAGACTTACGATGAAGCAGTCGTCGATATATCTGCAGTACATCAAAGGATAGTGTTCCAACACAGACTTGCGAGACAGCTGCGGTCAATGGCTATGCAGTACCGCAGAACCGTGGAAGGTGGCGCACCAATACGTAAGGGTCTTCGCGGTAGAATTATCATTATGTCTTCCTTTCATCTCCGTCAAAGTCAGCACTGCAGTACGAAAGAGCATTTTTAAAGCTGACCTGCAAGATGTCCAGTCGGTGAACATACACAACAGCAACATCAAGCAACAATAGATTCGAAACCGGCTCTACGATAAACAGTGGTTGAAAAACGACTGTACCATATATCCCTAGGGGAAAGCAGGTGATTGCGCACTTATGGGCTTGGTCTACCAGCTAGAATGTCGGGAATATGGTCCAACCTACAGTAGCGCTTGAGAGTATTCGGCCAAACGCTTTCACTTTTTTCGTTCTTTCGCTCTTTCGTTTATATTATAACTTTTTTCTTAGAGGAGCAAATCGCGCGAAATTTTGATATGTCCAACTGAAGCATATTTCACACCACTCAACCCTGTTTGACGGCGAAGCAGCAATTTCCATATAACTTAAAGCAGAGTGTTTTTTGCAGTGACTTCGCTCAAACAAAGTCAGTGGCGTCTGCAGTTATTCGCACCCTACGTGCGTTATTCTTCTCTACTGTGTTCGCCATTAGCACTCGTACACTTAAGACATGGCAAATAAGAAAGAAATCCAAGAAGGTTCAGTGTCTGTATTTCCAGCTGAGTTCTGAGTTTAAGCCCTTTGAGATATCTGGAACACGATCAGATTGCAGGCTAATAGTGGTAAATATTCACAATATACCCATGTTACACATATTGAAATTTCTCATGATAAGATCCAATAGGAAAGAAATTACGACTGAAAAGCGTAACTGAAAAAGCATTTGGCCGAATAATTTTGAGCGATACTGTACATCGGCGAGACAGGACGACAACTAGCAACACGGATGAAAGAACATCTGGCTAGTATGAAGCGTCGGAACCTTTTCACAGCGCCTGGTCGACATCAACTTGAGGAACCCAACGGCGACCATTCCGAAGTAAGAGCACGGTGTCAGCGCAGGAGACTGAAATTCTAGCAAGAAAGGCATCAGAGGCGTTCTGGATTCTGCAAAGGGATCCCATATAAATAACTGAGATGAGTGTCCATCCATAGCCAGTGACCTCTTGCCATACTTACCGCTCTGCGAGCTGTGACTCGTGGTCATTGTCGTCGTAATGCGATCTCCTTTATCAGTATAAGAGAGAGATCAATAAGTCTCAATCGCTATTGACAGACAGCGGATTCTATACGCTTGGCGGTGGAGCCTGATGAGTATGTTTCGGTCGTTTTTTTAAAGCCAAAAGCTATCGGATATTGTGAACCACGATTAATGAAGAGCTTAATATAGTGTTCCACCTGAAAACCTCGAACGGTAGGAAAATTTTTACAACGTAAACGAGAATGCCGAGGTTAGAACAAGGGAGAAGTTGGAGACTCTTGGCAGCTTTCTTCAGCCAAAGTATTCAAAACATATGGCTTGATTGTTAGTCTGCACCTTTCGTTTACGTTTCATCTCGAACAACTCAAAAATGAATTGTCATTCTAAAAAAGATGTCCTCATGCTTGGCTGTGCATTTGTTGGAAAGTGGTACAGAACTTGGTTGGAAAATTACATAAATCCTTCAGCTTCTCGTCAGACTGGGCAGGATTCGTTGGGACTATTTCGACCACTGCGAGATTTCGCCAGACGGCGAATTGGCAGGCAGACAGACGCTGCATCAAATCTTCATCGCCACAACTGATACTCGCGCTAATGCCTTATGGTGCCCTTTCTGTGCCCTTTCTGAATAAGAAGCTTCAGTGTAAAAATTGTGATAAAGTTGTTCTGCTTGACATTATTGAAAAACTACTTTCTTTTGCTTTCTTCTCTCACCTTTCTCCTTTTTACCTATTCAAACGTCTATGTCATAGCGTTGTGAGACATTGGAGAAAATGCTTAGGGACGCATGCAACAGACAGTCACTGAATCAATCTATTAGACAATACAGCCGTTGCTTATGGTGTACAGTACTCGTCGTGAAAACTCGAAAATTAACGCGAATACCGCTAGCTTGCGTCGTTTTCGTCTTTTCTCAAAATTCGGTTCAGAAAGAAGTATTCCTGGAGGTGAAGATACCGTTGAGCTCTATGGCATGTATTCTATGTGAAAATGCTTGGTTCCAGATTGCGCCATACTCGAGTTTCATCCGAAAAGTATTCGAATAGTTATAGGGTGCAGCTTCATTGCTTGTATGAGCTGATTGGCCTGTGAAGGTATAGTGATCAGAATTCGCTCTAGTGCGCGTCACAAGCTTGCTTTCACTGTAGATAGTGTACAAATGGTTAGCTAGTTTTGTTCAGACTTCATCGTTCATTTCTAACATAGAGGCGGTAGATGACTGCATCTAGTCTGCACTCAACACTTCTCATAACATGTCCAATTGAGAATATGTCATCAACCTACGGCAAGATGAATGAGTCGATTTTTTTGACATTGTACAACCTTGAAAAGGACTTTTCGAAGAAATCTGAGGAGGTGGCGTTGAAAACGCTCTCATGTAGACAACTCGTTGTTCTTCGCAAGATTTTCATGGCACACCTCATCATATGTAGATCGAAGGCTTTTCTAGGAATTTCCCACTAACATCCGATTGACCTCTTTGCAAATTAGGTATACCTTGTTACATTCCTGTAAAGAATGCTATCTAGTCAATGTCAATCCACTCTCTGTTCGCTATCATGCTGGGCGTGTTGGACACGCAGGTTCAAATGATGCTAGTTGAGAATAGGAGGGATAAGATCTGCAGAGGGCCGGACACTGTAGTGGCAGGAAGGCGGGGTAGTTGGAATTGGAGTTTCGAGGCGGTGTGAAGATGAAAGGTCGGGGGCGATAAGATGGCGAAATCAAATAATGTTCGTTTGAAAGGGAAAGTAAGATAATAGGCGAACTACTGTGGGAAAAGGGAGCACAGGGTTTGAATCGAGTAAACAAGAGTCGTAGGAACGAAACGAAGGCCCGTTATCACCACTACTGTACCCCACCTGTTGCCAGGTCTCCCCATTCAAAATCCGCCACTACAGTACCCTGCAGTCCTCCGCCACCTGCGTGTTCGAATCCGAATGTCCAGCAGGAATCCGATTAGCGATAGCATACGGCAGGAAATGGTTTTGAATCGAGGTTTTCATCACGGGACCGGGAGTGCAAGACAATGTATGTAGTAT